ACTGGCAGCCTTGATAACAGAAGCTCAAAGAAGCACAGGGGAAAAAATTCTGAACGTTCAGGAAGGTGCTGACCTTCATTGCTTTAAGGTGAGATTCAACTCACCTTAGTGTTGTTGGAGAATAGGGTTTTGAAGGATCCTTTGTGTTTCATCTGCTCTCCAGGTCTCTCTTTTCTTCCCTAGATAATGAAGATATTAAAAAAAAAGTGAGCTAAACAATGTGTTCCAAATTTATTATATTTATCATTTGGTTAACCAGAAATATCTATTATGTAGCACTCTATTTACTTTTAAACTGAGTGACAGCCAAAGACTCTAATAAACTCTTGAGGTGCTAACAGATTCTTTAGGATATTCTGACTCTATTGAGGATCAACTATAAGCCATTTAACTTTAGTGTTTGAAATACTGCCTTGTGGCTCAATACAAAATGGAAGATTAAGGAAGCTGCAGGCCTGACTGGAGCGGGCAGATGGTGCAACCTCTAATGCCCAATGTCTCACCCATTCCTTTCAATCTTTTTAAGAAACACCACAGTGCACATTATTATGCTCAAAGCATCACTGGTAGTACTCATATAATATCTAGTAGAGCAGGTTGCATAAATAATATCATATTTAGTAGATAAAATAAACCTCTTACTGATGAATAGGGGAACTGAGTTAGTTGATTTCCATAATCCTTTTGGACTGAGCTATAATTGACTGTCTGTCTGTATGTCTGTATGTATGTATGTCTTTGCTTATTCTCATTCTTTATATTTAATAACTGACAGAATCCACTCACATTTAGGACTTAGTATCATTTTGTTCTAAACCTCAGAGTTCCCAGAAAACCCAACATTAAACACCAGACCTTATTGTTTTGAAGAGAGAGTTGGAAGGTTATGTTCTTTGGCATCGTGTTTAATGAGGATTCCTGCACTGCCTGGTACTTACCTCCCAGCACAGTTCAGCAGAGTGTCAAGCTGCTCATGCTCTCATCAGGGTGCAATAACTATCATCCAGATGACAAGAAAACACCTAAGTTTTATACAACATCCCCTCATTCTTGTGCTTCAGTGTCCCCCAGTTGTCCTGGGACATACAGCTGTTGCTTATGAGACTAAGGTCCTTGCCCACCTCTGTTCCCTGGGACACGCCCTTGGTCTCTAGAGAAAGATGATGTGCTCATAATTTAAGTTACTCGATTTGAGTTTTATAGAAATCTGTTTTTACCAACTCTGCTATGGCCGAAACTCTTAGGAAGTCCCTCGATGATATCAAAACCTTACTGTCCTTTCTGAAATGATTACCTGGATCATCGCAGCATCTGAACCTGGCTGGGCTTTGTGACCTGCTGAGCAGTACAGTTCTAGGGCCTCAGGGACGAAGCAGCCATGATTGCTGCCTTTCACCTAGGAATGAGTCACTGAGACTGAACATGAGTCCCTGCCACAGCCACAGCTGTTCTGTGATTCTTGATCTAGTTATAAAGATTTCTGACCTGTCTCTGGGTGAAATACCTGGTCTAGCCCCATCTTCTCTGTGACCTTTTGCCAAGGTTCTGATTGAATAACACCCATAGGGAGATTATCATGAACATGTGCTTCAAAGCTGCCCTACCAATGTGGGCAGGATTGGATGTAGTGAAGAGTCTATTCAAGTGAAAAACAAAAGTTCTTTGTAAATATATTAATTTTAGCCGTGAAAAAGCACCATCTGGCCCCAGAGAGACTCAGCGAAGTCCATACATTATGAATAACTGGTAATTCTATTCTAATATTGCCACCAATCAGTATTGCTAAATGTGATCTCTCATCAAACATAAGCAGAATTATCTCCTAGAGAGCAATTCTTTGATATATTTTTCATGACTATATTTTCCTTGAGAGGATTTATAAGAACAATATACTTCTAAGAAAAATATCTTTACTAAATGTATTTAAATAGAATAGAGTTTAAAATATATTCATGAAAAATATGGAAGTATCTTAGTGAATATATACAAATATCACATATAATTATAATGTGTAAATAAATATCAAATAATTTTAAATTATATATTTTATAACATGTTAATGGTGATTATATTAACAAGAACAATTAATACTCATCATATATTCAATAAATATATTTTTAAGGTGCTCCATCTCCTTGCCTCTCTGTCCCTGTCTGCAGCCACAACCAGAGCGAGCTGGAAGTATGATAAATTAAAATGTTTCATAAAAGGCAACCATAAAAATGTGGAGAAACTCATAAAAAAATGCAGCCATTTTTAAAAAGAAGTTTTTGGGACTTCTAGACTGAACAAAATGGCATGGACTTATTTCTCTCTGTTCCTCCCTGCTAAGTACAACTATAAACTAAAATAATGCAAGAATCAACTAAAAGGAAAGTCTGAAATGTAAGGGGAAGGTAATCTGGTTTGGGACAATCAAGACCTTTGGTATCTAGACTACTGCATTTCAAAGAGTATGGCTTGGCTGACCTCGTGGCGCAACGGCAGCGCGTCTGACTCCAAAGAGTATGGCTTCCTGCAGTCAGATTACAAATATAGTACAGTGTTTATCATTGACCAAAAGATTAAGAATATTGAAAAATAAGAGAATATCCAAAAAAGACTAACAGTAGATCAAAATGTGCCATTATATCCTTTGAAGAAGAGATGAAGGATCCAGAAATGTTTAACAATGCAAGATAGAAGGAGGTACAAACAAGATTTTAGAGTGTTTTCTGTGGCCTGAGAAGAAATAGTACTTGGTCAATAAGAGTAAGTTATAAGGAAACAGATGCAGGTTGCTATAAGGCAGAACTTTCATATATTTAAAAATGTTAAAGATGAAAATTTCTTCGTTAGAAGATAATTGATTTTCTATCAATAAACAGATTCGCCAGAGGACAGATGACCATTGGCCAGCAGCGGTAAGGATGGGTTCATGCATTACCACAATTACCAGACTAAGAAAAGAAATAAATTCTCAAAGAGACAAGGCAACTTTAAGGGAATATCCCATTTTCTGAGTCACTGTGTTGCCTTGGAATGAATCCTAGCTTTTCCCTTCACTCCATCCCTCTCTCTCTCTCTCTCTCTCTCTCTCTCTCTCTCTCTCTCATATATATATATATATATATATATATATATATATATATATATATATATATATATATATATAAAATGTTAGAACAAACAGCACCTGCTATGTAGTCTATGTAGGAAACACTTATTAAATAAGAGCTATAATGATATAATATGTTATAGCATATATTGTATATTTTAACATAAGCATATTAATAATGATGATGATATTATGATGGCCTGATAGTTACTATAATGCTGATGCAAAAATTACATGACAGAAATTACATCAAGAGTTAGGAGGATACTCAGAACTACTGTGTTTATTTATCTTAAAAAATGTAAGATTTGGTCTACAACTGCATTTAGTCTTTCTTAATTTCATTTCACATGCACAAACATTCAAGTATCATTATACCACTGGATTCTCTATCCTGGAGTTAAGCTCAGAGGAAGGGCAGCTGGGAACATGATTCCATCATCCATTAAACTATACAAGGAAATACATTTATTGATATAGACCTATGTAACCAATGTTTTTACCAAAATATTTGATTTGGAAAATTATACTCACCACCTTTGTTAATGAGTATAGGATTTATACTATAAGCTATATGCTAAAATGTAGAATTCTTCCAAATATAATATTAAGCCTTCTTATATTAGTACCTAGAATAAAATGAAAAATTCCAATTACAAGTGTACCTGTTTTATCCCTGTTTATGCTGAACCCTTCATTTTCAGATGCCTGTTTAATTCACATCTTTTCTGACTCTAGACACAACTTGCCCCTTAACTGTCGCCTTGCTGCCTCTTTATAAGGCCCTCCTGTCTGCAGCCCAACTCTGTGCCCTAGTGCCCACCTTTCTGAGATGTCTGTCAAGCTCTAATGACACTTGGCAGAAGTGCATTTAAAATAAACCTCAATTAAATCAGACAAAAAGCTAGCAAAATACTAAAAATAGTATGAGTTATGGGAGAAGTTTACAATTTTCTCTAACAACAGAAGTCATTGTGGGTTCGGTGTGATGTCATAGCCAGTGGAATTTAAAAAAAACTATTAGAATGAATACTATTCCTGAAAGTCAAGAATAGATGATGACTGTCTTTCCTGGTTTTTAAAAATTAGATTTGAAACCAAGTGGGCTCATAAAGAATAATTTTTTGGAAGCACACAGAGGGCTTAAAGATATGCACGTATATGTGTATCTGATTTATATTCAATCAGTGTGTATCATACACTCACAGAATGCTAGTGCTGTGCCAGCTGCCTGTGATTCGAAGATGGACAGTCTTGGCCATCGCTTTCAGCAAGTCCACCGTTTGTACAAGGGAGACAAGCATATAGAGAAATGAGAACAATGCATTGTAAAAAGCAGGGCTGGGGCCAGAAAGGCTAGCAAAACACTCACCTCAGGCATCAAATTGAAGGGGGTATAATGTAGTCACAGTAAATCATATTTTGATGCAATAATTCAAAAGCCAAAACGGATGCAAAAATTCTATGATGAAGAAAATGTCAAAATTTTAAATAAAGCAATTACTATTGCTGATTTTCCCTTTTGCCTCAGGCTCCAATACAGCTCAGCATGATACAGCTCAGAAAGCATGGGACAGACCCAGGGTTGAAAGGGTTTCTAAAGAAGGAACACCTAAAATGGTTAATAGTGAGAGCAAGGTATGACCCATGAAAGCGTTCCCAGAGAAATAGGAAACCTGTTTTGTCATTGGAATCAGTTGTCTTCAGACTGATGGGAGCTGATGGTCATTGACTATGATGCTGGAAAACAGAAAGAAAGATTTAGCAGGACCCATAGATGTTGCCATTTTCTTGAGGATATAAAATAGTGTAACTTATAGCACATTCTTGTGAATGGCTCTAATATGTAATTGCTGTTAAAATACTTATACTGTTTCTCAATAAAATAATTTTATAATTCCAGGCCCTAAGAATCTTGACAGACTGCTGAGTTCATTCATAGCAAGAGAAGAACATTTCCACCCTTGACTTCTTGGCGTCCAGGTAACAGCCAAAATGGTATGTCAGTATGGAGTCTTGTTCCACCTTTGTATGTTTCCTGTTTGGAATATGGGGCACAGAAGGCCTTGAGTGACAATAAAAGAACAATTTAATTGCTTACAGAATGTAGAAAATAGTTGTATTTCAATAAAGGAGTAAAGTTACAACCAAAAGGCTTAGGAGAAGAGCCATCAATAAATCAGTAGGCGTCCGGAAGATACATAACTCTAAGGAAAAGACACACCTCTCCATAGGTGTGCAGGAAGAACATGGTTTGCTTCCATTTCCATTCATTTCCATCTAACATGACAGTTGGGTTTTGCTAATATTTAATATATAGATTGATTTCCATGTACTCCAACATCAACTGGAGTGTATGTGGTATCTTCAAGGAAGATAACAGCTTCTGCAATTCAGAGATAAAAAGCAACACTGCCTTTATCGGTATTCCTATTTTGCAAAGCATTAAAATGTATTCGTTGCCAAGTAAGTGGATTTATGGATTATATTACCTAATTTTTACTAAAAATAATCTTCAGAAAATGAAGTGGCTTAGATACATTCTTGAAAAGAAAATAAGAACTTATAATACTAATAATGTGATTCCTCAGAGATGTCAATTTTACTTCTAGTATAAACTCTTCCTCAGCCACAGTACTCAGTAATAATGGAAAACTAATCAGATTTGACAAAACTAGCCCAAAATTCAAAATACATATTAGGAATGTTATTTCCAATGTAGATTTATACTCACTATTGATAGTGGCAAACTTGTCCAAAGTACATATTTTCCATTTTACAAATTGTGCCATTGTGATATATCTTTTTCAAAGATGGTCATGATGAATCATATATTAAATAAACTGAATTTCAGACTAGATTTTTGAATTGCTGTACCTCAAAGTATTTAAATAAGATTTTCCAAAAATAAATATTGAATCACATTGCTTTCACTGAAATAGGATAAATAACATTTTTAGTGAGATCAAAAAGTTTGGTACCATTAAAAATTAAAATATATCTTATAATGTACTATATTCATTCTATCCCTTATTAATGTCTATTTCTGCATGCTTTATGATGTGCATATTATGTTAGTAAAACAATATTGGCATATGATTTATAAATAGCTATACACTGGGTTGAATAAAAAGCTCTTAAAATTTTTATTGGTACATGACTGATCAAAACAGTCTAAAGAAACAATTGCCCTACACATTTAGTGCAGGCCACTTAGGAGAGTGGTTAGACAGAACAGGACAAGCTTATTTTATTGCAACATCTGAACTGATTCTTAACAAGTCTATGGTCCAGCTGGTTCTGGGACAAGATAGAAGCCAGAATAATTGGAAGATCCCACCCCTAGAAAGAGAAGGCAGAGTCGCGAGATGAGAACTAGGAAGACAAAAACCACAAAAAGGGCTACAGTCATCAGTGCTCAGAAGTTCCAGGAACCTTTACCAGTACACTTTTTTGTGCTTGTCTTACTTTTTTGGGAAGGAGACTGTTTTCAATAGGGGCTTTTTACACAAGATAATAGGGGTCATCTAAATAGACAGATTTTCTTAAAACTGGGTTGCTGAGACATTTATCTTTGCTGCAGCTGTTAAAGACAAACAGTATAGTATTGATGTGCTAACACAACTCTCTCATTTGTAAACTACGCACTGAACAGCTAACACTTACTCCAGCATTCCATACCTGTGCCACAGGTGAACGCGGATTATCTCCCCTATAGATTTTAAAACCATAGACAATATCTAAGTTATTGGTTTGTTTGTTTAAGGGAAAAATACTGGGACTAAGGAAGCTAGTTTGTTTTGATTTTAAAATTTTGAATATTGCATTGAAACTATGGTTCTCAACCATAAGCAATATTACCTCCCCCAAGTCTTATCTGTGAAAATATTTGGCAACATCTGGAGAGATCTGGTTATCACAACTCACGGGGCTGGGGATGCTATCAGCATGTAATGGGTAGAGGCCAAGGATGCTGCTAAGACATCCTGCAATGCACAGGACAGCCCCCAGCAACAAAGAATTAACTGGCCCCAAATGTCAATAGTGCTGTGTTGAGAAACTCTGCATTAAAGGAATCATCCTGTCTATCCATATTTATTTCTTGGGTTCAGGAAAAATATTTCTTGATATAATTATTTAATTGGAAAACTATTTTTAAATAGCCTTTTTCAATTACTTTTTAGATCAGCTTTGCATTTTCTCTCTCTTCTATAATGTCTTTGGTCCTATAAAACATTGTGTACAAAGGCATTTTTAGTCCTAATTTTATTACCATTTTAGTGTTATTATATTTGTTCTAGTTAAATATCTTTTCCCTTTATCTAGTATAACCATAGCAGCTGAGCAATTGCTGCTACTTTTCTTTTCAATCTACTTTGTTTATTAATCCGAGTAACTATTAAACACTGTGGGGATGCATTGAGGAGGAAGTGCTTTGTGATACACATTCTCACTTAAAAATTACCATTCTCCACATGAATAAATAAATTTCCAAGCAAGTGACTTAGCTATTTATTTAGTCTTCTTCACTGCATTTTTCTTATATGGTTTCTTTCTCTGCTGAAAAGTGGCAATGCCCTATCGTATTTGATTCATTTGAAATTTTTTCCTCAGAGCATTAAATCCCCATCCACATGCCTTTGTGAGACTCAAGCTACTTCAATGAAAACCCTGCTTTTCTTCATTGCTCCGAATAGTTAGCTTTCCACACCGAAATTCATTCTCTACCTCGTATTAACAATATGATAAAAATTAAGTCACTGAGGCAAAAAGTTCTTTGCTTTGTTCAGAAATCCATCTGCAATGTGAAATGTTGACTTGAGAAAAAAACATATTGACAAAGATATAGAAAAAAATCAATTTAACAGGATAATAAGGTGACACTAATAAAAGACATTTTAAAATAGAAATAACACAAACATTGGATTTGTAGCAGATAAAATTTCTCAACGTATGAGAAGTGGAACTAATATTCTATAACCTTAGATGATATAAAACCATATTTATTTTTTAAATAATTGAAGAACTAGTAGGTAAGTCTATAAATGCCAGATTTAAGATGAAAATAACTCTAAAACTTAAAGATCACTTGAAACACACCTATTGATATATGAAGCACTTATTGGAAAACAAAATCGAAAGAACGGTATGAATAATTTAGGGCAATAAAATGAGGTAAATATTGAGAAAGCATTTTTGAAGAGTACCATCCCCAATATGTACACACAAACACGAAAAGTATAGCTTAGAAGAAAATAAAGCAGAAAAGTAACAGCAGATGTACAAAAGGCACACAGATTTTTTTCTTAATGAAATGATAAAGTATATAAACAAAAACAAAAGATTATCAGAAAAGTTTTACATTTTTAATAGAAGTTAATTCTTTAGGATCATCATAAAATGAAAATCATCAAAACCTTCACATGTTAAAGTAGGCATCTAAGTAAATAGCACCATACTTATTTCTAGTGTTCTTTAAGTGATTGATGATACACTCACTGGTTTAGTATTTGTTTTATGACAACTCTATGGAAGATGGAGAAATGACCCGTGTTGTTGAGGGATTCAGCCCAGGATCTCGCCTGTGCTGGGTCCATGGACAATTAATTAATGGTTATGGATATTCAAAGGCACGGAGACTCCCAGCTAGGGGAGGCTTCCTGGAACGGTTAGACCTTAGCTAACAGGTAGAATATAGACATGCAGTGAATAGGGGAGACATTTCAGAGTGGAGGAAATAGCACAAACAAAAGAGAAATCATGGTAAGAATGTAGTAACAGTAAAAATATTTAGTGTGGTTTCAGGCATATGCAAAGGAGTAGCAGGAAATAAAACTGTTTAGGTATTTAGGTAGTTCAGTAGCGTGTCGTTTCTTAAAACCTACTGACAGAAGGAAAGTCAGCTGACCTTTATGTACTGGTTAATGTTATGAAGTTTGTTAGGCCTCTAACACATAATGAAATGGTAAGAACTGATTTTTTTTTTCTCCTCTCTGTAAACAATCGGTACAAAGACCTGGGACCCTATGGTAAAACTCCATTGTAAAACAATTTGATTCCACAAGGGGGGGGGCGGGGAAAACATCCTCACAAGGACCCCAAAACAATAACAGGCTGTTTGGCTCCACGGGCAAATTACTCATTATGGAGGAAAAGTCATCTAGATCGTGTTACATTAAAGAGCTCTTTTTATCTACATTTATTTATATATTGATGATGTCTCCCTCACTTAGCGATGAAACCATTAGAGTCAACTTAGTAAGACATGCACTTATTCATTTTCAGTGGTGGTGTCGAGCTCATACTAATTATTCTCTTACTTTTCCCCATATTTTTTTGATCCAGGATGTTTCATTGTCTACTAAAATATGAACGTAGATGCAAAAATCCTAAGAACAACATTAACAAACCAAATCTGTTACATACGCCAGTATAATATATCACAAACAAGTGAATTTATTCCAGGAAAGGAAATGTAGTTTATCATTCAAAAATCAATTAATGCAATTTATCACATTAATTTAAAGTGTAGAAGTACATAAACAATTCTATAGGTGCAAAAAAAGCACTGGACGTTCTCAACACCAATTTATGATTTAAGAATATCCACCAGCAAATCATGAATGAAAAGGGACTTCCTTAATTTTATAAGGAAAAGCTACAACAATAATCATTCCTGGTGGTGACATATGGAAAACCCTTACCCTTGTGGTTGAAAATGAGACAAAAAGGCCCACTATTACTGCTTCTAGTAAGCACCATACTAAAGCTCCTAGCAAGTCCAATAAGGCAATTAAAAAAGAATGCAATAATTGTATATAAATTTAAAAAGAAAGAAATGAAAGTGCCATAAAACATCATGATTGTGTTAGAAGAAAAAAAGTACAGAAAATTACTTTAATTTATAAACATATTTAGCAAGTTTGCTTTATGTGAGGTCAATATACAAAAATAATTTGTTGGGCACTTCTCACCCAATTATTGGCATGTGTATATCC